TTCCTGCTCTTCTGTGTGTAGGTGTAATTGATAGTGCTGTCAAGAACCTGCAATTAAGCTAGTTGTCTTTCCAGCTACTTCATACCATCAATTATCTCTCTTGCTGGGCTAAGGGCAGGCTGTTCCAGTGCAGAACATTTGCAAATAATGAGGTACAAGAAAACCTTTGGCATCAGCTGCTCTTGGAGACAGAATACCAGCAAGGTTTCTGGTAACCAGTTTTGTTTTTCGTCAGCCTTCTTGCGAAAGGTGGTGAAAAAGCCCTCCAATGAGCCCAGCGGAAAAAAAAAAAGAAAAAAAAAATCCCTGCAAAAGCAAGGAAAGCAATAAGCAAGTGAAACACTATCAAATTTCTTGGGAATCTGAAATGCTTAAATGTTTAATTGCCAAGAGAAAAATGACCAAGGTTTGAACCTATTGAAAAAGTTAAGGATTAGTATGGCATAATAGCAGGGGAAAACCATTTCTTTCAAATCATCTGCAATGAAACCCTTCGCCTTTCTGTTTTGAAAGAGAATTTGGCAAGAAGCCACAAGGACTGAGATGTAATCTTGGCTCCACCTCTGAGGTATTGTGAGGCTCTCAGCAAATATATTAAATTTATCAGCCTTTTCTTCCCCATCTGTCAAGCAACTCTAATAAATCTTTTTTATTTGCCTCGAGGTATCCCAAGGGTTTTAATTACAAGCTCAAATATAAAAGAGAGTAACAGAGAGTAGCCGTACAGTAGCTGTATTAATAAGGTATTTTTGCAGGATACTGGTTGCTGGTGCATTCATAGTCTGCCCACCAAAGCCAAGCCTACCGCTGTTTCCAATTAAATGATTAATAAGCATCCATTGTGGCTGAGCTTCCTATTTTCTAGGCTATTTATTGTCTTCTCCATGCAAGTCTCATTTTTTCATGTGTTCTACACAATCAGAGCCGAAAACTGAATGAGAAGATACAGCTACGCTAATTTATTCTTCTAAAAGCTGGGCATTCAGGTCTGAGCTGGTCACTTTAGACTTTCTTGGACTCAATGAAGAAGAGGAAGGCTCTCTGGAGAGCAATCTCTCAGACGTGCCTGCCTCTCAGCACAGACCTAGCATCAAAAGTTTGAGGAGATGAGTCCTGCCCAGTCAGTTATGGTCTTTAACTGAGGATGGTGTGTGGAGGGCTATTTCTAAAAAAGAAATATTTTGCACTCTTGTACCACAGCGAGGACATTTGCTTGTCCAGTCCACGCTCTGGTTCCCAGCTTCTAAGCACTGGGCTGCCTTTGGCTGTGCCTCATGGACTCTATCCTTTGTGAAGGGAGTGACTATGAAAAGAACAGATACAGCAAAAATCACTTCTAATTTGCTGTTCAACAGAACATTCTTTTACAGATTGTCCTTGACAAAGGAAGATACTCTTAAGGCCATTTGCTAAACTGTAATTAATGTAAGGAAGGAGGACAAACTAAACCAAAAGAAGACTCCTCACAAAACCCAGCCCATAGGATCCTCCAAGCTGAGTATGCACGCAAAGTGATTTAAAAACTGTAAAATTCCATAGGATTTCACAAATGTTCAGTGTTATGCATTGTTTTGCATATTTAAACGTACAAATTGCTGCCAGGCAAGGCAAACCCCAAGAAAACCCCAAATTATTCATCTGCATCAGCCAAGCCCCACTTCTGAGATGTGTATAAAGGAGGAGCTCAGGGTTGTTGAAGCAGAGGGGCACCTATTTGAGTTGCGTGCTCTGCTGTCCTCCAGCATCCTCTCCTCCATCACGTCGGCCAACATGAGCCAGCAGCTGTCAGCTGGAAGGTCTCTTCATGGAAGAAAGTTCTTCTCATCCTCTTCTGCTGCAAGTGGCATGAGCCACTGCCGAAGCAGCACTTTCCCCTCTGCTGCATTATTTGGAAGAAGATACGGAGCCTGGAGCCACAGCAGCCGAAGCCTCCAAAACACAGATGGGTGTAAATGGATTTCTTCTGGCCGAAGCCTTGCACAGGGGGTCTGTGGAGGCTGGAGCTGCAGGGGCATCCGTGCCAACAGTGAAGGTGGGAGTCATGGGTTAGGCTTCCACAGCAGGAGCTGCAAAAGCGAAGGTATTCGCGCAGTGCACGTCAATGAGAGCCTGCTGCAGCCTCTTGATGTGAAGATCGACCCCAAAATCCAGCACATCCGAAAGCAGGAGAGAGAGCAGATGAAGAGCCTCAATAACCAGTTTGCCTCTTTGATTAACAAGGTGAGAGCTGAGGCAAGACTTAAAGGAATGATGAGGTTTAAGTGTGAAGGAAACCTTTTTGTACTCAGGTCTTTGATTCCTCTCTTTCTATCACCCTATTACATGAGCCTTGTGCTGGTTTTAGCATGCATGGCTCTAGTACCACGAGCTGCAAGTGCAGATCTAGCTGATAATGTTATTTTAATCTGGCTATTTATGTACTTTAATAAGCTGCATCTGGTTTTGTTATTAATAGCAGAAGGGAGCTGTTCCCCCAAGGTGTCTTACTGAGCTTCTGCACTATTGACTTCTCTCTGTGCAGCTAGACCTTGTAAAGTTGCATTGTCTCCTATGGAAAAATGATGGTTTCCTCTATCAGCCAATGGATATGCAGATGTATTTAAACATTCCGTGGTTTCTGTAGCTGTGCTGTCTAGGGCTTCCTTGGAAAACAGGAGAGTATCACACCCAGTATACTCTAGGATTCCTGGGTTATGAAGATTGCAGTGTCCCCCTTTTGTCCTCTCGTCCCCTTCAAACCATAATGAGCCCCTGGAGCATTGACTCAGAAGATGCAATGCCTTGTTCCCCCCACATTCGTCTGGTCCCCATACAATGCATCTAAGCATGTGCCTGAAGAAGGTGGCTTTGCTTTCTGAATGCAGGTACAGCATCTGAAGCAGAAGAACAGGGTGTTGGCCACCAAGTGGGACCTTGTCCAAAAGCAGGTCCTGCCATCCCAGAACATCAAGCATGTCTTCAACAACTTCATTTGCAGCCTGCAGAGGCGGCTGGACTCGTTGCTGCATGAGAGGGGGCAGATGGAGCCTGAGCTGAACGACACAGAAGAGTTCAGATGCGAGTGAGCAGAAACCATCCACAGGGCAGTCAATTCAAACAGCTTGTCTAATGGGACCTTTATTTTCGTCTGTATCAATAGACTTCTCTCTGAGGTCCAAAAAGCTGAGCTCCAAAAGGCTGAGATCCAAAAGCACCCTGACCCCTACATACCCAGACAAACAAGTTCTCCAGTCTCCGAATGACCCAGCAACCAGTCTCTTCTCTTCCCTAACAGATACGAGCAGGAAGCGAACAGACGCACAGCTGCTGAGAACGAGTTTATGTTAGTGAAGAAGGTAAGGAACTGGGAGGAATGGAAGGGTTGGGTGCAGAGATCCAAGGACTTTCCTCTGATCTGCTCCTTGCAAGGCAAGGGTCAGGTCTTGAGAATGTTAAAAGTCATTGGATGCAGAAAAGCATGTCACAGAGTTATTGCCGGAAAGCATGAAACCTCTGCCTATTAGTACAGAAAATATATTTTATTCTAAACTGACAGCTTGCTAGTCCTGATGCCCAAATCATGACATTTTTCAAGCAAGAACTCAGTGATATTGTATAAGCTTTTGGGACTCCTCAGCTGTTGCTGTTCTGGGGATATCTGAGCTTCCCAATTACAATTCCTAAACAAAATTTCTTACTCTAAAAATATAATGAAATTGCCTTAGGTCTCTGTGTAGGCACTATTTTGACTTCTAAATATCTGGGAACTCTTTTAGGATGTGGACTGTGTCTATCTGACCAAGGCAGAGCTGGAAGCAAAGCTGGAAACCCTAAAGCAGGAGATAGAGTTCCTGCAATGTGTTTCTGCTCAGGTATGGATGCTCCTGTCCCAACCTTGTTTGATGGCAGCTGTTCCTACCAGCCACTCCTTGTCTACATTGATTTGGGCCTGATTAAACCAATCCATCAAGCTCTCTTTGGGAGGCAATGGGAATCCCAGATAGGGAAGACTTTGAGATCTCAAAAAAACCCCCCTCAAGCTGCATGCATGACCAAATCTAGTCTCAGCTCCTGGGTTGTGGCTCAGGACAAACTCTCAGGGGTGGTGTTACTTCTACTGGAGCGTGAGATAAGAAATCCAGGGACAGCTTGCTGCCACTTCACATGGCTTCTAGGAAATTGCTGAGCTGGAGAGAGGTCCCTGTGACACCTCTGTCGTTGTGAAAATGGACAACAGCCAAGGCCTGGATGTGGAGGGCATCCTCAGGAGCGTTGAGTGCTGGTATGAGGATATGGCTCAGAAAAGCAAGGCAGAGCTGGATGCGTTGCACAGAACTAAGGTAAGTTGTGGCATCCAACGACATATCCTTAATTCTCTCATTGTCAAAGTAATAGCGGAAAGGTGGTGATTTTTTTCTTTCTGTCGTCACTATGTAACTTCTGCACCTAATTTTCCATTCTGCTAAACTGGATGGGGTCTCAAAGTCAGGAGAACATCCCCAAAACAGATACAGTGCAATGGGACAGGAATCAGTCACGCTGGGAATGGAGAGGTTGTAGGTGAGTTGAATGGTGAAAGCTGCAGGAGGAAAGCTCCATTTGCTGCTGAAATTCTCAGGAGCTGCAAAGCTGAGAGGACTTTTCTACAGCTAGTTTAATTCACTTTGGAAACAGAAGCAAGGCTCCTATGTCACATACACTGCCTGTATTAATTGCCACCTCTCTCTTTTCCTACAACCAGTATCAAGAGCTTGAGGAGGCAAAGGGGAGACATTGCAATGAACTGAAGTCCCACCAGCAAGAGATTGAAGAGCTGAGTTTTGTGATCCAGAGAAGGCAGCGTGACCTTGAAAATATGAAGAAGCAGGTATGATGGATCGCGTTCATTCACTGGATCTCCTAGATGTGAGATCCCAAGTCATGTTTTCTACATCTCTGTGGCATTTCTTTCATCTTTGTTGAAGAGCATTGCCTCACATCGGTTCCATTGGCCTAGAGAAGATCTTACCAATGCCGAGCAGGGAAGAAGAATTATCTGCTGGCCTGTTTTCTGCTGGATTATTTTGATTATTGCAAGGAACTAATTGTGCCAAATTAGATCGTTGAATTAGCTACAGCCACTTGGAAAATTGCTAAAATTGCTCCAGCAAGAATTCTGGCAGGAGACAATGCTTCTGACACAGGTTCAAAGCATCCAATAAGTAGGGTAGAATTATGACTCACCAGTAATTCAGCACCCATAGAAACTGGTATAATTTTCAGACCATCTAATTCATTATATAGTTTATAACGGGAAGTAATGGAAAACCTTAATTATTAGTTCCAATTAGAACAAAGTATTGGTATCCTCAAAACAAGGCTTAAACACAGTCTGGCAGTACAGGGACATGTCCAGCCTTTCTGTAGTATTTCAGAATTGATATTTGATTTTGGAAACATTTGGCTTGCCTAAAGACAACCTCAATACTTCCCACTTTGGGACTCTCAAAAGAAGCGGGAATTTCTTTTTCAAGGGTGAGTATGGCAAGACAGAGGACATGGAAAGTAAGGCCTTCTCATGTCTCCCCTGACAGGTGTCCTCTCTGCAAACCTCCATTTGTGATGTTGAGCAGCGTGGGGACTCTGCCCTGAAAGATGCCCGGGAGAAGCACGTTGAGCTGCAGAATGCCCTCCAGAAGGCCAAGGATGAGCTGGCTTGCATGCTGCGGGACTACCAGGAGCTGCTGAATGTCAAACTGGCCCTGGATATTGAGATTGCAACATATAAGACTCTCCTGGAGGGTGAAGAGAGCAGGTGGGTACCACTACAACCGTGTGTGGGCAGTGTTCAGTCCTTGGGACTCTTCAACAGAGACAAGGAGGCTGGAAAAAGCTAGAAATGCTAGTTACGTGATGGATAACCTTGTGACTTTCTTCTCCTTCAGGATACACCTTGGGAGCCCTGTGAGAGTGTGTAAGTAAGCTCAAGGTTGTCTATTTTCCTTACAACATTAAACGATCTACTTCTGGTCTGCAGGGGGAGGAGGAAGGCTGTGTCCTCCCCATGAGTGATTCAGCTTGTGTTTTCCCATGACAGTGATCACTGCCCCTTGCAACACCATCTCTGGCTGCGAAGCCAACCTGGGATGTGGATCTGGTAGACAGTCCAGAAGATGCAGGTCCTCCTGTAGCGCTGGTAGAGCATCCCTACCCGAAGACACTGGTGCCTGCCACAGAGGATTCACCTCCAGAAGTGCTGCCTGCTCTGTAGGCAGGCAGCGTATCCCTGCTGCTCCCAGCTGCATCCATAGGAGTGAAGAATTTAGGGCCGGAGGTGGGGGCCATTCGTGCCAGAGCTCAGCCCCTCTGGGCACTGGTGGATGCTGCAGTAGGACTGCAGGGAGGTGTAGAGAGAGCCGCAGAGCTGCAAAGAGCATGGGAAACACAAGGGATGTGTGGGCAACTGGACCTCCACATGCCCCAGGAACACCTGGATCTAAACTTCAGCTGTAGAGTCAGGACAACCAGGACGTAACACCTAAAGTAGAAAAATGAAAGCCCTGTTCCACTTTCAGTGGTAAAAATATCCTCAACTCCACCTTACACACGAGGAAGAGGCATACTGGGTACAAGCCCATTGCAGCATCATGAAACCACATCAGAGAAACTCCAACTGGGCTCACATCAAAAAAGGGACACTTAAAACATACTCCTTTTGATTTCTGCTGCTTCTTCAAAAGGCTGGTGGTTGTGTTGGGGCACTTACCTTATAATCGCTCAATTCCTGCCTTCTTTTTTTTCTGATTAAGCCTTTGCTATCTATGAAAGAAGTTATGATAGTTAATTCAGAATCCTTTCCCTAGAGTGCTCGGGGAAGTGTTTCTGGAAATGAGTTCTCTAGGACTCACCATTTCATCAAAGTCTATCTGATGTAATTTTAGGCAAGTCAGTGGAGTTGTAGTGGTGAGGCACATGGGGTCATGGAGAGGAGGGGCAGGACTCCAGTGATGTCCTTTGCTGTCTTGGAGCAGTTTGGTCATCCATATGTAGGCAGGCAAGTCATAAAGGAAATCTCAATTCAAAAAAGCACATTTCACCTTCTGTAGTCAGCAAAGAGTAATTACGTCGCTTGTACTCCTGTTAACTTCCTTGCTTAGTGTCCTGACATATGCATAAATTACAGCACCCTCACTTCTATCTCGATGACTCAAGACCTTTAAACTTTTTGCTCTTTTTCCAGTAAAGTGCATGGAGAACGAATGTGTCGCCACTTGGTTTTTAGTATTTCCCAAGAATAGAGAAATGCCCTATTCCTAAATGGGACAAGACATATCTGCTGATCAGAAGTCTTAACAATTAAGCAGAGATGGCAGGGTTGCCCAGAGAGTGTCATATAGATCCAGTCTTTGGTTGGTGTAAATTATGGAAGCCTTTTAAAGGCGGATTATTTATGCTGATTTGTACCAAATTTGGCTCCTACCCAATGCTATTCAATGGGTGTTTTAAGATGCATAGAGAAGTCATCTCAGCCTCTTTGCATTTTTATAGTGTGTCTACCGCAGAGGTGTGATGATAAAACACAGTTTATACCTCTTCAAAATCTGCTGCAATAGGGTCATTATAGGAAAAAACTCAGGAATGTGCTTTGTTGCTTTTTTCAGGATCACTTTAGAAATCCTACAACTACCAGTTTAGAGATTTGAGCAGATTAAAAAAAGAAGCCAATAAATTAGGAACATAAATCAACTACAAAGGACTGAAGTGTTTTGCCATTAAACTGATGAAAGCCAATGAGCAGAACAAAGAAATGAACCGTGTAGAGGCAAGCTGGACAGATATATGTTTTACAAAAGGGGAAATCCAGAGGGAAGGTCTTTCCTATCCGAAGCAATTATCATGATTCAGAATTGGAAGAGCTTTCTCGCCCCCTCATCGTTCTCCTGTGATAGGAAGCTATTTCCCAATCAAATACGAGAAGCACAAAACAGGCACAATCTTTAATGAAGAAAACCACAAGAAAGATTTGACAAGGAAAGAACAATCGAGCAGCCATAAATATTCCTTAAGAGGGGTTTAAGTATCTCACAAATGTTATGGTGTTCCCACTGAAAATAGATGATCCTGTTGCTTTTTATGCAAGAGACAAATAACTCAGGGAAATGACATAGAATTAGTGTTGCTTCCTCACCTCCAGACTCCCCCCCGCCATCATTTCCAGATCTGCTAAGTTAATTTAGCAAGTGCTTTACTTTAAACCTGTGACCAGCCTCTCTGAACATCAGCGCTCCATGAGTCAGCCAGGCGTTTCCTCAGCCGGTCAGCAGTACATCGCAAAGCTGCCCAAATCAAATCAAATGTGGGCTTGGGCACTGGGGCTTTAGCCTAACAAAAGGAAGAGTTTGTCTCCTGCCGGCTGAATATGCTTCCCAGGAGGACCTGACCCAGCTTCCATGGGCGATTCCTTCTGTATGGCTCAGAGACTCTCTTCTGCCCAAGAAAACAGCTTCAACTGGAAGGGATAAGAGCTCCTGTAGGTTTATAGGGAAGTTGCTGTAACCTAATAACAACTGCAGTATTTTTTTTCCCTTTCCTAATCTTTCTGCTTTAACAGGCAGTGTGATGCCATCCCATTCAGGGGCCTGGATTCCCATACAGCCCACATTCATTTCCATTGTGCAATTCTGTGGGAGGAAGACATCAACATGAAAAACATCAAAACAATCCTTTGCTTTGTTGCAAGGCTCAGCTTTACAGGCGCTAATCACCGCACGGAGATATGATATATGCATGCATCAGGAACTGAGCAAATCTAGAGAGCATGTGATGTTGTGTGTACTCTCATTAAGACTTCAAAGGTGCTAAAGAAATTTGGCGCCCAAAGGGTGGGACTAATTTCACCTAACTTTAACCGTCCAGAAGTGGGGCGCCTGGTCTAGTTGTCTGGTTGTCTAGACTGCCTCTGGTAGTCAGTAAGAAGAGAGGTAAGTACCTCCAGAGGTGGATTCCTCCCACCTGACTTAGCTGCCTATTTTAGGATGCGATGACTCACCGTCTGGAGATGCCTATCTCTTTCTATTAACCATAGATGGAGTCTCAAAGATGAAATTAGAATACATGGCTAGTTTGATGGCTGAAGTAGGGAGGAAGGTGCACCCAGGCGCAGTGTTTGATGAATTTTATGAGGAACATCCTTTGAAAATCCCAGCCTTGACTTCTAACATAGAGCAGATGTAGGCTAATGAGAGGAAAAAATACATGACCAAATTGAATTCCCTTGGACAACTTTGGCTTTAGGATACAAGGGAATGAGGCCGCACTAATCAAATCAATTCTTTAACAGCTCGTGAATGACATGGACAAGAGTCTATGCAGTCCATGAAACTGTGTGTATAAAAATACATGTTATGACCCAATCTTACATCTATCAAATGCTGTTAGCACAGGTAGGTTATTGCCATTGTCCTATCTGAATGCAATGAGTTTTCTATGGCTATGGATAATTACAGAGATGGAGCATGGCTCTTTGAGATTATCGCATAAAACATACTTTAAGAGCTAGTTCAGATTCATCTCCAGAGGCAACAAACAAATTAGTGAACTTCACATGTTCTTGTAATGAATTCCATTTTCAGCAGCACATTCAGGGAGAAGAATGCTGACAAAGGGAGAGATTGCAAGTTGTCAAAATGACTCATTCAACCCCTCACCAAAATATTTTCCTTTTTTGCTTCCTCAGTCCTTCCCCTCCTTTTTTTTGAGTCAAAAAGATGTAATTTTTGCTTCGGAGTACTCTCCCATTTCCCATGTCCATACTCACAATAACAAATTGTTGATTCCCGAGATCTTAGGCACCAACAGGCAAAACTCTCGTTGTTCCTTGGAAAGACCTAGAAGACATTAAGTGAGCCTTCTGCATAGCTGCCTTCTCCCTGGGATTCAGGAGCAACAACAGGGATTTGGCTAACACAGAAATTTTACCCAATACCGGGCAATTTATGCCCAAAATCTCTTACCTCTCAGGAAGCCAGTGGCTCTGGTGAGGCGTTTTGGAACTGGGGCTGCTGCAGCACAGTCGGTTCACAGATGTTTAATTGCAGTCTATGATATGTTCCAGGTGTCTCCCACACAGCCGCCGCGTATAATGGGGTGCAGAAAGGGAGCAGTGGCACAGCAGCCTTCAGTCTGACTTCTGGTCCAAGATGCAGTTTTCCTATATAGAGCTCGTAACAACTGGCTTTTGTACTCGTCTTTGGATTCAAATACGCATTTTGCTTCTGATCAATCTTTGTTTAGAACTTAAAGGATCTGGGAAGCTACAAGCTTTAGCTTGAAGTCTCTAATATTTGTTTTAACTGATATTGCCAATTGTGCTGGCAACCCGGTATAAACTGTGAGCCTAAAACACTATAAACAAAGGTGTAATCTGAAAGTCATGCTGTAAATATGTTGAATTATCCCATTTGTATAGGGCAAAAGTATCAGCTTAGGCAACTAATTTATACCACCAGCCCCTCAAACTCACATAAGTTGCAATTACACGTTCAATTAATAGCCTTGTGAACCTCGGTGCTGCAGTCACGTCCTATGGTTTCGGTGTGCATGTGTTCTTTTTAAGAACTTGATATTAGAAGGTTTAATGTCTTAAGGAGGCTTAACATTGTTTTTATGATTTGCACCACATGATCCTAACTCTTGGAAAATGTTTTCGGAGGGGGTTAATGAGGATGAGGGAACACAGCTACGAGGTGTCTCCAGATACCCTCATGTTGTATGTATAACAGGCAGACTTCTCCAAGCGTCGCTCCCCTTCAGTTAGGAAGGGCTGAGGGCATTTAGTTATTTGCACTATAATGTCTCTTTTTCTCCCAAACATTTTACTCTCAAAGAGCTGAAAGAGCCCTGTTGTTCTGACTTTCCAAACGTCAGTTTGGAGAAGGCCCTGAGATGGTTGGCAGCTAGGTTCACTGTCTCACCTCCTTGGGCTGGTGATGAGGACAGAGCGAGAGAGATTCATCTTGCCAATGTGAGTCAAAGCCATCTCTGGTGTCCAGTCTAATCTACTCATTAAGACTTCCTCTGTTGATGGAGAAAGACCAGCGCCTGCAGAGAGTGAATCACCCCAGTTCCCCTAAGCACGGACCCAGGGGCTGTCATCTCTCTCTTGGAGGTATATCTGCATTGAATGTCAAGGATGTGTCTGACAAACTCGCCCCAAATTTTAGCGGCTGCTTCTTGAATGCAGTGGATCTCACCAGGCTGAAATGTGCTACTGTTCCTGTTTTGTTCCCTGTAGAGACTACCAGAAGATGAGTCAAAAAGGTCTCTGACATCCAGCTTGGTAGGAGCTCCAGTACAGCGAGGGCCAAAGATTCAACTGTGTCAAATGGACTTCAGGTTAAGAATTCGCAGCATTACTCAAGTGAAAATGTCACTGCCTGCACAGAACATAAACCTAGTAAGAAAACTGAAATATGCCAAATATGCCTCAGTTCCTAGATGCAGCCTGCTCTGGTTTGGTGGTGGTTCATGTGGTAAGAGGTCCGTGTGAGATGTTGCATGGGAACGGTTTTGGGGGGCATTTTGAGTCCTTGCATATGAATCCAGACCCATAACTCAGTGAATTTGCTGGTGTTTCAGGCACAGAAATGAGCCATCTGTCACAACACAACTTCCACAGTGTTTTTCCATGGTTGACTTTCTTTTTTGTTTTGGTTACTTTTCCGCACCCAAACCAAGCCTGGTGAGAGAAAAAAGGAGAGATTGTGAAATTACCCCCACAAAGTGCAAGTCTGCAAAACATGCCATCACACACAAAAACCTATGAGACACAAAACCCCAAGCGACACACTGCAAACAAATCACAAAGAGTTTCTTCAAAAATGTTTGCTAAACTATAATTAGTGTAAGTTAGGGGAACACTTCAAACCGTAATATATTCTAAGCCAACTTGCAAACAGAGCACTTTTAGATTCCTTTTTATTTCCTCAGTAGTTAGTATTTGCTGGGCTGTTTTGCATTTTGAGCAGCATTTATTGCTGCCAGGCAAACCAAACCCTTAAGCACTTTAAATTAATATCCTGATCCTATCAAGGCCAGCTTCCCAAATGTATATAAGGGGTAGCATCACTGTGTCACTTCAGCGGGATCTCTGTTCCTCTCCTGCAGAAGAGCTTCCCCTAAACTTTCACATTCCACCTTCAAATAAGCCACGATGAGCAGACAGGCACCTACAGTGAGATCTGTCCTGGGACGAAGAGGCTTCAGTTCAGCTTCAGAGATTTGTGGTCGAAGCTACGCTGCCTCTGCCTGCCAACCTGTCCGATGCGGAGCTGGTGCCTATAGCAGCAGGAGCGTCTGCAACCTGGGTGGAAACAGGAGAATCTCCTATGTGAACGGGGTCTGTGGTACTGGATGTTTTGGAGAGTTCGGCTTTGGCGGTGTAGGCTTCGGTAATGTTGGAGGAAGGGTTGGTCTTTGTGGCCCCAGGGGATATAGTATTGTGAGAGGTTACCCCGATCGCAAGGCTGATGGCATCCAAGGTATCTGCATTGATGAACGGCTTCTGAAGCCCCTCTGCGTTGGGATCGACCCGCTGGAACATGAAATACGCTGTCAGGAGAAGGAACAGATCAAGACCCTCAACACCCAATTTGCCTGCTTCATCGACAAGGTGAGTGCAAATCTGCTCTGTACTTGCACTTCTTTTTGAGAAAAATAAACCACAACCAGTCTCCTCTAAAGCCCCAGCCCAGCTCATGCCATGAATCACTGAGCCGGGTCCATGCAAAGGTCCAGATTCCCGCAGAGCCATGCTGGTCCAGGGTGAGATCTTCAGCATTAGGGAAGGACTCATTTCAGCCACGTACCAGTCCTAGGATTTGATGGTGTTTGCGTCACGGCCACGGTAGCACTGGACTTTCTTGCAGGTGTCTCCGCTCTGGACGGTCTCAGTTCAAGGCTGGATTTCTGATTGCAGCCTTGTTTTAGCTCAGCTGGAAGTTACAGCCCTGACGGGCTCATCCTTCTGTCCTGCATTAGACCCTTTCCCCCCCTTTGTCTTTAAATATATCGACTGTTCCAAAAACATTCCTGAAGGTAAAGGAGGTTAATCTTGATTCAGGCACCTAAGCATTAGATATCTAAGTCTGAGCTGTCACCTTAGGCTCCCTTTGTAGAAAAAACAGAGACAAACAGGTTCCACCCTCCGGGGACTCAATCTCATCCTAAAATTCATCAGAGGCATCATCCAGAGGAGCTTTATTTCTATTCATTGGTGAGAAAGGCAGATTTACACAGGTGACTTTTAGATTTCTAAACAATTTAGACGTGACTTTTAGATTTCTAAATAAGGGCAGATAATTTCATCTTCATCATGGCACATCACCTCTCACTTCCCGAAAATCCTATTCTTCCACTTGCAGTTTCACAATGAGAGCAGACAGTTAAACCAGGTGTCGAGGCATTGCCGTCATCCCTTTATTTGAAGAATTGCTATTTTTTGGCCTGCAGGTCCGATTCCTGGAGCAGCAGAACAAAGTGCTGGAGACCAAGTGGGGCCTCCTGCAGCAATACGTCCTACCCAAGAAAGGGAAAAACCTTGAACTGTACTTCGAGAATTACATCTGTGACCTGCGGAAGCGCCTGGACTGCTTGCTATGCGAAAAGCAAAAACTGGGCAGCGAAGAGTGTGCCACAAGCCAGCTGGTGGAGGAGTTCAAGTGCAAGTAAGGACCTTCAGGTCTCCTCTAGCCATTGGCATTTCACTTCTCCTCTGGTTCATCCCAGGCAACATCTCCCAGACATGTGGCACATCCCCTTTGGGGATGTCACATTCTTCTGTCTCACTTGCAAGCTCTTTGCATTGTTAATGGTGTTGTTCATGAAGAAGCTTCTGATCTTGGGATGGTCTAATGTTCGGTCTCCAGACACTGATCTTACAGTGCCTGATGGCAGTCTGTGAGCAAGCAAAGGTTGTTATTTATACCTGATGGTTAATGTCTGCGTGTCTGATAGTACTGCTTGGCTCAGCCCTTTTCTTCTCCTTTTCCAACAGATATGAAGAGGAAATCAACAGGCGTACAACCGTGGAGAATGAGTTTGTGGCACTCAAAAAGGTGAGAAGCTCAAAATACATGAATCATTATACCTATGATAGGTTTATTTGGTGTAAAGCTTGGCTGAAATAGTGCGTTATTAGCAAATACCTGGCAAAAGTGTTATAATGAGCAGGAGTGAAGAGGCACAGGGTCAGAAAAAGAGGCAAATGCAAGTCGAAAGTAAAATAATGTATCCTCAAAGCTTATATCATCAGCACTACAGCAATACTTTTGTTACCCCAAGCACATTCTTGAAGTGTAATGGGAAGGTGCATTTGTAGAAGGGGGACAGAGTGGGAGAGGTCACACTGGAATAGCTGGTGTCTAAGACACTGGTTATTTTCTGTCCGTCTCTTCACATCCTTTATACTTGGACATCAGAAAAGCAGAAATCATTTGGACAATATTAAAAAATTGTGTTTAAATACTCATTAGTCAATTCTGAGCTTGCAGCTAGGTCCTAATAAATAAACTAATCCCTGTAAGTCACATTGGAATGGTTTTGTTTTCCTTTAGGAGACACCAGGGCATCTTGACTCACCCTCTCACACCTTTCTGCTCTTGAAATCTTGTTGAAACATGTTCCTGTTTTATTGGCACTGCCTGTGTCTTCTGTGTGTATTTCTCCAATGTTTTCAGCGAGATTGGGCTGGAACGTGTCTCCTCTCTTTCAGGATGCAGACTGTATCTTTTTGAATAAGGAAGAGCTGGAGGTGAAGGTGGATCTGTTAAGAAGGCAGTTGGAGCTGTTGAAATGCGTGTTTGAGGAGGTGAGTTTCTCTGGTCCGTCCCAGGAGTTTGGTGGTGCTGTATCATCCTTCAGGCGCTCCAAATTTCTACAGCTTGAAACCTCTTGGACATGTCTCATCCCAAGCCCTGAATACTTGAAAGCATGGAAGTACAAGGTTGATATAATATTAACATGATTATGCTGGAAATAGGGTGGTTCCCCCTTTCTTAATGCAGCTCCAGGTATGAATGGGCTGTGTCCTAACTCTGCCCCTGAGAAAAGAGATGCATCGGTCTAGTTCCTCCGGATTGCAGGTGTCTGATTAGAGCTAAAGAAACTCCCAGCTTCATCCTGTCATTAACATCAGTGAAGCAGCTGAAGATGACAGGATACCAAGGGTTAAGTCACTCAAATTCCTTGCCCTTGATGTGGGCAGAATTGCTGCAGGTCAGCATGTAGGTCAGCAGCTGACATGTGGCAACTCATCCAGCAAGGAGGATTTTCTGCTGAGCCAACCTGAGGGACATTTCTTGACTTGTTATATCCACCAGCTGAGCAGTGTGGCTCTTTGTCCCAACCCTTCCTTCACTACAAAGTCTGTGAATTGCTAACAGCTGACTAAGCTGTTCCCCAACTTGTAGGAACGGGCTCAGGTAGATCGCCAGCTATGCGACACTTCGGTCATCGTGAAAATGGACAACAACCGAGACCTGGACATGGAAAGCATCATCAAGAATGTTGAATGCTGGTACCAAGAAATAGCTCAGAAGAGCAAAGAAGAAGTCGATGCTTTCTACCAAACCAGGGTGAGTAGGAAGCAAGCTGGGTGTCTGCCTGGCTGCAGGTCAAAAACAACCTGGCTAACAGGCTGCAGGTCAAAAAAAGATGATTGTGTTGTTTCTTGGTTCCAGTTTCAGGAGCTTCAGGATAAGAGAGGCAAGTATTGCGATGATCTGCAAAGCAACAAATGCGAGATTTCGGAGCTAACCCGGATGATACAGAAGCTGCAGTGTGAACTGGAGAATGTGAAGAAGCAGGTAGGAGAGGCCCAGAGGAGATGTTTCCAGAAAGGGCAATGTCTTGGAGTACAGCTCAGATATGGGGGAAGATGACGCATTGGCCTTTAGTAGACTTAAGACCTGCTCTAGGCTGTAGTTGGAAAGTGTATAGTTGAAAAGTGGATAGAGAGAAGGGACACTGGTGTTTTTTTAATCTGTTTGCAATTGGAAGAGCAGATTAATCCAAAACCAGAATGCCCAGGAATTAGGAAACAAAGCCTTGAAGACACTTGCACTGTTATCCTCCCTCTGACAGGTCTCCTGCCTGCAAACCTCCATTTGTGATGTTGAGCAGCGTGGGGATTGTGCCCTGAAAGATGCCCGGGAGAAGCACGTTGAGCTGCAGAATGCCCTCCAGAAGGCCAAGGATGAGCTGGCTTGCATGCTGCGGGACTACCAGGAGCTGCTGAATGTCAAACTGGCCCTGGATATTGAGATTGCAACATATAAGACTCTCCTGGAGGGCGAAGAGAACAGGTGGGTGACAGAGACCTTGTCCCTTTTCTCCTGTATATCAGAGGCCAGAATGATTCCAGCTCCGAAGTGAATTTTGCAGCTCCAGGATCCTTCCAGGCTCATGGAAAGTGGGGCTGGAGAGACGGCTGGAGGCCATACAGGCCACCCTTATGCCAGCAAAAACAGTTCCTGTCCTAGGGATAGTCAGACGTGTTACAACAAGGGAGTAAGTGGGCTGGATATATGGCTGGAAGTTATGAGTAACGTCAGGTTTCTAGATGTGCATGCAACTGGTTAATAGGATAACATGCATTTCTCTTCTCTCCCCTAACAGGATATGTGTGGGGAACCCAGTGAGCGTGTGTAAGTAACCTGAAGATTTTCAGCCATGAGGGTTTCTCATTTTAGGAAAGGTGGTTTATGGAGTAGCATTATTTGTCTGCCCCATCTTCCTCTGCCTCCCTTTTCCATTTCAGCCCAGGCTGATGTTGAAGGTTTAGTCCCAGAAATCTCAAATACCTCTGAATTTTAAAAAAATCAGCTTTTGGATGGAGGGGGTTAAGTCAAATTCGTGACCCTTTTCTGCTCTTGGAGGCAACAGTGAGTTGTCCTGGTGAACCTGCCAAGCGATGCACCGATGTGCATTGAACCTGGGAAAGAATACGCCACCAGCCAGATGAGCAATGTGGGAACTGGGAGGATCTGTGAGGGGATGTGTTGGGACATGGGGGAGGAGTTGGAAGGAGCAGGGGCTCAGATACGTTGGACAAATCTAGAGGAAATCAGGTTTGGTTGGTTCTGTCACTCATGAAACAACTTGCCTTGTGGGACTCTTCCAGTTTTCCTCTATAAATAATTAATTCTGTGGGCTGTCTTGCAGCTGTGGTCAGCAGTGGCTACAATATCCCCGATGACTGCGCGATGCTGGCTGCAAACGGGGCTGTGTGTGGCTACAGCTCCCTGGGGAGACGGTCCGGACGACACAGCTCCCAGACTGGAGCATTCAGCTCCCGGAGTGCTGGGATCCACCCCAAGAGAGTCATTAGCTCAGTGGCCAAGCAGTGTGTCCCAGAGGTGTATTGCCAAGCCGGAGGGGTCAGCTGCAAAAATGGAGGATTCAGCTCCCGGAGTGGGGGGTACCCAGCCCGCACCGTCATCAGCACGGGAAACGGGGGCTTGAATGCTAGGATGGGGGCTTGCCAAGCTGGTGGGGTGGTCAGCTTCGGGAACCAAGGCTGCGTCATCAGGCAGCTGGGGGGCTCTCCCGTCGTCGTTGCAAACAGCCCTGAAGTTGTGGCGTGCAACAACGGCATGGTGGGGAACTACGGGGTTGTCAGAGACCCGTGCGTTGTTCCATAGGGCCATCAGCTGGGGAGGTGGCACAGCCAGCAGTGTCGGAGGGCAACGCTCAGACGCGCCGTTCCTCCAATTGAGATGATGCAGGATAGTTTCTCTGCCCACTAGTAGCAACATTGGTCACCAAGCCCATTCCCACATTTATTAGCATCGGTTATATACCCCACCAAGTTATGTTTTCAGAGTCCCCAACCCTAAAGACACATCTAGCAAGCTTCTCCAGTAGGTGCTCAACACAGTATTATTTCTCTGAGTTTATACTGTCTAGATTATCACAGCTTTAAGGGTTTGCTTGTTGCACTGCCTTCTCTCTCTGGCTTTTCCCATAACGAGCAGATTCATCAACAATGTTCTTCTTTACAAGACACCTCTTTTTCTTCCAGCTCTTCCCAAAGCATTTCAGAAAAGAGAGTGATGATTTAACTTTCCCAGGAGGTACTGCAAAGAGCACGCTCCCCCCCCCCCCCCTTTTTTTTTTTTTTTACAAAACAACCCCGCCGCCCCCTCTTTCTTTTTTTTTTAC